GCTCAGCCAAAGAGCAGCAAGCCATGGATCGTGCTGCTACAAAGACACAGGCCCGCTTGGCAGCCCAGGGTGGCAGGGAAGCCAAGCTGCAAAGGCTAAACTCCTTGAGGAGAGATTGTCCATATGCAAGCAAAAGTGCCCTGCAGGCCATCTTGTCCAACGTAAAAACAAATGGCCTTCCTGATTTAATGTCTTCAAAGAATATGACGGAGGCAACGAGGGCCCAGCTCTCCAAGAACAATCTGTATGGGCCCTTGATGCAGCAAGTGCGTGCAGTGGGCACATCTGGCGAGACGGTGCAATTGTGGCTGGTCAATGGGCTTTCCTTACTGGCTGCATCATTTGCTCAAGGCGGGTCTTGGGCTTCCATGCTTCAGAACACGCATGGAAGCAACCCAAGCTCCCATACCAGGCCGTGGGACTTGGTCTTATATGCAGATGAAGTTGTCCCAGGCAATTGCATAGCTCACAGACTCGCTTCTAATCTGCAACCAGCATGGAGCTGTTCTTTTTTTGTGTTGTTGAGCCACAGGGTGCAGCCAATCTTGTAGGGGGCTATCAAGGAGAGGAAAGTTTGGGTGATATATGGCTCATTCCTTCAGCTGAAGCAGCTCCTGAACTGGTTCTCACTTGGAGTCTTCTACTGCACACACTGTGCAGGCTAACATGAGCCAAATCATGGCACTGGTTCTTCAGCAGTTTTCCTGTAAAGAAATTGCCCAGCCACGCCTTGGCCTCCTGTTGAAGCATGAGCATGAGTCTCGAGAGAGCTGCCAGAACATCAGGCAGTTTTTCAAATTCGGAATGTTCCTGGCTGATGGCAGTGCACTGAAGTACATACACAGCTGCAAAGGAGATTCAGGAAGCAAATTTCGCGCGATGCGCCGAAATGTCAGAGCACCTCTTCAAGAGGAACTTGAGGATGAGAATGACATGCTCGGGTCTGATGTGTGTACCCTTTCACAACCAGGAAGTGCTACAGGCTTACCAGAGGTGTGCTGCCAACCAGACGGCCATGAGCAAGAGAGCATTTGATGACTGGCAGCAGGCGTGTGGAGTCACACACACAACCAGCATTCGCTTTTTTTGTGCAGACAGCTTTTGGACCAGAACATCTTGCAGCCAATCAGCCAGTGGTGCCACGATTGGATGCACGCAATGGCTTCACAGGGGGTTATGCAAGTAACGGTATGCCTGCTGTGTGCAACACTGGGTTGGGAAAGTATGGAGACTTACTTGAAGCTGTGGACCTTGCCGGCTACTTGGCAAAAGGCTGGATTTGCATTGCGAAAAGCAAAGGAAGCTGGCTGGTCCAATTACATGACACGAAAGTTTCACTGGCTGTTGCATCTAGCGACATTACTGCAGCTGCATGGCGGTTTGCCCTCTTGCTGGTCACTGGAAAGAAAGCACAAAGTATGCTCCCGATATGCCACCGCCACCACAAATTTGTCTGTCTATGAGCAAAGCATCTTGGAGGAGGTCCTTGCGCATGATTTGCACTCACTGAAGCACAGCACAGTGTTCCAGCAGTGGCAGCAGGGCGCATGCCTAACTTGCGCTGCCAACAAGAAGCTGGCCCTGCGCATTTGCATGACTTTGGGCATGGGCATGCCTGATGACTGCATCCATGTGGGCCACCAAGCCAAGCTGCCAACTGGTGCTTCTTGTCAGGCAAAGGATGTTGTGCTCATGGCTGGCAGCCAGTAGGGCCAAGCTTGGGAGGTTGCAGCCATCTCCCTGCATTTCCAAGTGGGCAGTATTGTGTACAGTATTGTTTCTCCCTTTACTCTTGTGGAATACTGTGCAAAGACTTGCTCAGCCTTGGTCAAAGAAACAGGTGAGCTGATTCTGGTGCAAACAGCAGACTTGCTGACACCTGTCGCCTTTGCCCAGCAAAGATGGGCTGAGGGTGCTGGTGCCTTGGGCCCACAGGCCGTGAAATGCATGACGGGGCCAACTTGCAAAACAGCAATGTACTTTTGCACCGGCTGTGAGCCTTTCCAGGCTTATTGCTGCAGTGCTCTTGTTGACTCATGCCAGGCTCAGCCTTTTCAGGCTTGAGACATGTGCTGTCTGTCAGCCTGTTCAGGCTACACACTGGCTTTCAGCCTGTCAGCCTTTTCAGGCTTTTTGGCTCAGCCTTCATAGGCTTTTCCTATTGTTCTTGCAACTTTCCTGGGCTTATATATTTCAGCTTGAGTGCTGACTAAAGTCTAATGTTCAAGCTTAGCTAACTACTTAGGAAACACTTAGTTAACTACTTAGCTAACTTGTTATAAGTCGTTAGCTAACCTTCGTAACCATGCTAAGTCACTAGTAAGCACACAGCCGATCCAAGTAAGTACCTTGCGTCAAGACTTCGAAAAGCAGACCCTAGTTCGCGAACCGAATTTCCACTTAAGACAAAGCTGGTTCGTCGTTGGCTCTTGATCATTTCCAGAAGCTGCCGTGCCAGCACAAGAAAACACGCTCCGTAAACTCTTCCGCAAGCAAGCTTCCGCGGAACAAACGCTTCCGCAAAGTGTCCGTGGGCTTCCGCGACTGTGGCACGTCGTGCTTACAACGCGTATCAGAGAATAGTTTCTGTATACCTTTACACGCGTTATGTAGAAGCAGTAAAGCGAGCAACTGCCATCGCAGTCTGTCGCGGACTAGCCATTGGGCTTTTTGCTGCAATTGCTGCCGCTGCTCGCTGCTGTCCCTCGCATTTCTCCAACTAGGCGCCAAACTTTTGCTACGATCCGCTGCTTTCGCTTCGCCCACGTTCTCGCAAGCCGCCCTTGACTTCTCCGGGTTGTTTCAAGTCACGCTCCAACATACATGCGTCGCGTGTTTGATTGCCGCTGGGCGCCACCTCTCCGTCGCGAGCATCGTGCAAAGCATCGCTTTGGTCGAGACGTGGCGCAACTCGCGCAAGTCCACAAGAGCCTCGCTCTTTGCGACTGCAGGTCTTGCACGTCTGTCGGCATAGATTGCGTCGGCGCCAAGCAGCCGCGCTGAAGTCTGCTTCTTCCTTTCTCTTCCTGCATCTGTAGCACCGCTTCGTTTCTTGGCAGTTCAGACACACGCGTTGCAGCGTTGCTCCGATGCTGTGCCATTTTTCATGGAAGGCCGTGGTGAGCTGCCAGCACTTGCAGATACAGCACTGCCACGCATAACCACGCTGCTCACGCCTACTGACGCATTCCTTACACACGTGGCTCGCGTCATCGCGCTTCCATCGACCTGCTGCGCAGCCACGCGGCTCCTTGCGTTCCCGGCACTCGCTGCACGGCTTCTCAATGAGGTACTTTTCTCCATTCTCCTCCCGGTTTATCGCTTCTCGGAGCAGCAGGTTGCGCCCCGTGTCTTCTCCGTGCTGGCACGGCGCCAGGGCAAAGGGCCGAAATATGAGCAGGCGTTCTCAACCTTCCACGCGCGTGACGGCGACATAACAACCCGGTTGTGTCGCGATGTCTGCGATGGCACCTTCTCGCATGGTGAGCAGTGATCGCAAAATACGGACACAGCGGGAGCTGTCTCCGCGACACCTCAAGTTTGGGGTATTTCCGACGGTGGTCCAGGTGCCAGAGCGCTGCCAGTGTTTCCCATGCCTCGCACGCGCCGTGCTCGCCTTGTCTTAAGCCTCAAATACACTGCGGCAGGTAATTTCGTCCAGAAGCAGACTTCTCCGTCCTGTTTGCTCATCTCTTCTCCGGGCGCGTCATGCGTCCAGCCGCACGCTCGTCCAGGGCATCCCCGCAGCACGCCCCCTCTCGCGATCCAAGCGGTCTGTAGCAGCGACAGGCATGCCAACGCAGAGAGGCAGAGTGCCGTACAGGTCGCCGCCTTCTCGATCGTGGCGCTGCTGCCAGGTCACCTTGTTGCACGATCTTCTGCAATAGCATAATACAATCTCTGCTGTCTCTCAGCAGCGAATCTACGCGTGCGCTTGCGAGATGACGTGGTATTTCACGGTGTTGGTCGCGGAAACGCAAGTCGATTCGTCGAAGTTCTCCCGGAAGCGACCGTCGGTTTGTGTCATATGGCCACCAGTGCCTTCGAACGCCCTTCCTCGCGCAGGATGCGCTCTGCGTCCTCCTTGCCAGCTGCCGGGCACAGACGGCGGGCGTCCATGTAAGAAGGCGTGCGTCGAGGCCGACAGCTTCCCGCGGCGGAATGCGTCTTGCACCTGTCTCAGCCACTCGTCCTGTGTGCGCTCGCGCGTGACAAGCTCTGTGACGCCTTGGATGCCATTCTTTGGACCAGCTGTCCGTAGGCCGCATGCGGTAGCTTTGTGCTGACTCCCTTGTTGCGCAGGAAAGCCGCTGCGGGTGGCTCTGCTCCATAAAAGTCCTCTTCACTTGACATCTTGCGTTCGGAGAACCTGCTCCGCTACCACAATTGAGGTTGTAAATGCGGCGCCTAATAGGGCCAGCAATGCACCTCGTAGGTCCTCTGTGTAGGTCTACTCCGATGCAAGAGGAATATCTATTAATGTAAAGGGGGAAATGACCACAGTTTGAAATGTAAGGCAGTGCTTGGTCCAATAAGGATCAAATAGTGCAATGTCCACAATCAGCAAAGCGATGGCTCTTTTTCCTTGTCTATGCAAGTCTTAGCTACACCAAGCCTTGATCCAATGGCGAATGGGAGATTGTTACAGAGGTGGATTATGTGACACAAGACAGAACAAAACAAGAAACACCCCCCAGCCTGAAGCACTTTTGAAGGGAGACAAAGGGAGACAAGGCTGCAGCAACCCGTCCAACCGAACGGAGTATATGAAGGGATACAAGGGGAGACAAGGGCTAAGGGGAGACAGAGTGGAAGGAACCTGTCCAAACGAACCCGCCTATCCTAAAAGAACCAAGAACCCCTCCAGTAAACTGTTTGGGGAACAAGAAACACCCCCCAGCCAGGCCTTGAACATTTTTTGCAGGTTCAGAACGTGTGACCATCCATGACACTTGCTCCAGACTTGCTAGTAGCACACATGCACTCTGACAACCCCTTTTTTGGCGGTTAGCTCCTTCAAACAGATTTCGGGTGAAACTGAACATGCAGTAGTTCGTTATTCGCAAATGGCCTTACGAAAAAGGCGATCAGGAAGAGACAGCACTGTAAGGGCTTAATCTGTCAAGCTGGGCCAGTTGCCAGGACAGGCAGCTGTCAAAGATTTGCCCAGAAAACTTGCAAAGTCTCTGGCTGTTAAATACTCCCACCGCTGCCATGGATCGACACGGGTTGCGGCCGGTGCCTGGCCGCGGAAAAGCAAGCCCAGCATGCCCTGCGGCATATCCTGCTTCGGGATGGCCTTTCCCAGTTTGGCCTGGATGGCGGTCACGAAGCAATTGGCTGCCGCTTCTTTTTGGTAAACCCACATGACGTCAATGATGCTTGTCTTTGTACCATTTGGCGACAGCACCGCAATGTAGGGGTAGGTTGGAATCGGTTGCTCTTTCCACCAGGCCAGCATGTCGCTGGGGCCTGAACAATTCTCCTGCGGCACCCTCATCAAGTGTACGTCGGCTGGCCTTCTTGCCCCCCTTGGCAGTTTCAGCAGCTCGTGGGGGCTGCTGTACATGGCTTCATGGCATCGAAGGCACAGAGCGACCAGCACAACGGTCTCCCAGTCCTGGCCGCTTTCAACCTTTCCCGACCAGCGCGGGATTTCGTCGATCCATTCCCCAACCTGTTCCCATTCCAGGTGGCAGCACATCCGTCCCACGTAGGCGAGAATCCACCGGATCTCCCCCAGGGCTGGGGATTCGGTGAGGGCATCGAAGGCACGCACTGGATCGTGGTTTGAACCCCGCCTGCCAGTGAAGAACTCTGACAGGAAAGACCTTGCCAGGTCTTGGAGCCCCTCCGATTTTGCAAAACGTGCGATATCCCGGAACCGGTCCTTCAGGTCCAAGTCCCCCGTCTTGACCGAGTAGATCAGGGATGGGACGTAGCCGAAATAGACGGCCTCCAACGGCGTCAAGGCCGCGCAGTTCGGGTGCATGCCTCTCAGCCTCTGTACCTCAGCGCACCTGGGCATTTGTATGGGAATCACCTTACGAGAGCCTTCTGCGCCCGTGTCCAAGACTTGCTCGAGGCCGGCGCTGGTGGGGATGCTGGTGCTCAAAACGAGGTGTCGTCCTGCAGGGTTAAGGAATGTGTCTCGCAGGAATCTCCCCAGAGCTTGGCGGTCATAGGTTGGATTGGATTTGAGCAAGACGTTCAGCTCATCCACGACGAGGACGACGTCCTTCTTGTCCTCCAGGTATGCCTTCAAGGCTTCCTCGCTACAGCGCACCCGCTCTGCCCCTTTCTTGTCTGCGGGCTTGTTCTTCATTAGACTCACAGCGATAGCCCTCAGCATAGTGTCCATCACCTTTTCGCCGTCGAGCCTGTAGACAAGCGAATCCCCGCTGAAGCTGATGAAAATGGGGAGTTTCTCCTCCTTCTTCAGCCTGTCAAAGACCTCGTAAAGCATTGTGGTCTTGCCGCCGCCCATGAAGCGGGAGAGCATGGCAGCAGGCACTCGCGGAATCGTCGCCTTTGTGACCAGTGGCAGATTGTCCTGGACTGCCTGCATGCAGTCATCAACGCAAGAGTCAAGCTCTAGGAACCTTTTGGGTCGGTCACCATTTGAAGGTCGCAAGCAAGCAGCGATATTGAAGTCCTTGGCAGTGACGACCTGCTCAGTGACCTTCTCAGTGACAAAACCAAAAGCAAAAGTGGACTGGAAAGCCACTGCCGGAGAGGGGGCATTGACAAGACAAAGAAACAATGCTGACCCTTCATAGCAAATCGAGCATGGGCAGCCAGGGCTAACAACGAGCACTAGAATGGCAAGGAGTGGGAGGGAACAAAACGAAACGAAACCAAACAAGTCAGCAGGCGCACACGAAAAGCCAGGGATGCACGCAGTTCAGCATTACGGAAAGCATGCCGGGCGGTCGTGGAACTTCAAAATTAAACAAAACGCCCAACAGCACGTCTCAGAACAACAGTCAAGAGCAAACGATTTACCAGCCGTGCCTGGGGCTCTTGCAACAGCCGGATCTTCCTGGTCAGCAGCATTGCAGGGCCGTGGGGAATCAGCTTCTCCAGCGTGAGCTTCAGCAGGGCTGCTCCGACCACCTTCTGCTTCAGCAGAATGGTGGTGACTTCGGTGATGTCGTCTGCTTCCAACCCAGCATCCAGCAGTACGGCTGCCACCCAGCTGGATACTTGTGCTTTGCTGAAGCCCTCAACCTCCTCGCGGCTCTTGGCGAGCCACTCCTGCCAGCACCCACCACAACCGAGCCTGGCGAACGCCCCCGGCCTCCGGGTCGCTGTCCTGGCATGATGCAACCGGCCAAATATGCAACTGCTGGTTGGAGCGTCCTGCTGCGGGCTGGCGCGCAAAGCAACTCCGCCACGCCAAAGGTGCTGGCTTGTCACCTGAGAGGAGCTGAGAATCCAGGCCAAACAAAACGGGTCGAGATTTGATTTGGTTTTTTATTGGTTTCCGTCCTGGCTGCTAAAATGCTGTAATTTACAGCATTTTCTCGCGAAATGTACATATTTTACGCGTCCGTCAACATCATCAGCATCGTTTTCAACATCCCCCGCATGTCCAGCTAACATCGCCAGCATCACCAGCAAATTCGCTTCCCGCATCTCATGAGAACAGTGAGGATTCAATTAAAGGCGCAGGGGGTTGGGGGGGGCGGCAGCCCCCCATGATAATCGAACAATTAGGGGCAAAGAATCTGAAAAGTAACGGTCGCATGATGATCGAAAAAGTGATGATTCAATCAGGAGCAAAAAGTCTAAAAAATAGCGGGGGGGGGCGGCAGACCTACCCAAGACCTTGCCCCAGTTGGATAAAACCCCCTCAACCGACCAATTCACATAATATTTTTTCATCAATTCATAACAGAACCTCAACTCAAGATTTGATACATAAATTTTGTAAATATTTTTCCAAATTCCCAAAATATATTTTTCCAAAATCCCAAATTCCCAAAATATATTTTTCCAAAATCCCAAATTCCCAAAATATATTTTCCCAAAATCCCAAAATATAAAATCCCCATAATTTCAAAACATAAATCTTACAATGTTTTTTATTGTAAGGTTTATGGGTTAGTTCTAATTAAAAATGTCATCTAAGTAATATTGCACCTCTTGGATTTCAATGTAGTCAAAGTAATCATCAATAACATAAATCAAGTATTCATAAATAATAAGTTTCAAAATAATATGCATTGGATATAACTTATTTCTATACTTAAAGTCAGCATGTTTTGTGTATGATAATTTGTCTTTCAAGGTCTCCTTATGACCAATAAACAAAACACCCTCTCTAAACACTCCCCAACCCTGCCTTACAAAGGACTTCATCACTGTTCTTAATTCATCATCTTCAACATTGTCAATAACTTTTGTATTTACATCTTTTATTCTTGCTTGTAATCTACCACTGTCTAAAGAAATATTGCGAGGACAATAACTTGAAAGACATTGAAGTTTTAGTTCCATATTGCTGAAGTCTGGACTTGGTTTATACCTTCTTGTTTCAAATCGCGCTTCACTATCACTCATAAATTTACACTTTTCACAACTCAAGATGTTATTTACACATTGATTACACTTACTATAGTCAAACAGCATTTCACTAATAATATAAGGCATTTTCTTTTTAAGTAGATTTCGCTTAAAACATAAGTCTTACAATTTAATTTTATTGTAAGGTTTATGGGTTAATTTAATAGTCAGGCAATATTAATGGAGGAGGACATGACCTGCCACACAAAAGGGGGGCAGCCAGCCACACAAAAGGGGGGCAGCCAGCCACACAAAAGGGGGGCAGCCAGCCACACAAAAGGGGGGCAGCCAGCCACACAAAAGGGGGGCAGCCAGCCACACAAAAGGGGGGCAGCCAGCCACACAAAAGGGGGGCAGCCAGCCACACAAAAGGGGGGCAGCAGCAACTAAATGACATTTTCCTCGAGTTTCAAGCACAACCCCAAACTCGTTTCCTTAACCCCTCAAACTCGTCAAAATCTCACAAATCAATTCAGCAGGTATTTTGTATAAATCTTCCTGCTTATGTATTACATAATTTTCCCCCCATTCTGCTTTAGTTTTTGATGGCAGTCGTTGCGCAGTTTCAATATGTTTATTATTCCTTATTTTTCCACAATCTCTATTACATAAATCTCTAGGTGTCCAATTCGTAATGTTATTCCAAAGTCTAGTGCGTTTTCTGTAATTAAATCCATATTTGCAATAATCAACATCTTTAAAATCAAACTCATTCATAAACTCCTGATTTTTTAATAATCCAGTTTGAGGATTTTCGATTACAAAATATTTAGGATTAAAATATTTGATAATCTCAATAGTTTTTAAAACTATACTATTAGCATATTCAATATTCCTAATTCCCCTAGTTTTTGCTACACTATATTCAGTGCACGGGGGACTGCTCCAAATAAAATCAAAATGGTTTCTGTCAAACTGCTTATAATCCCATTCCAAAATATCACAATTAATATCAGCATGTTTCAAGTCTAATGAGATGACATTAAAACCTAATGACTTTGCTATGGTTCCTACACTTCCAGTTCCACTAAATAATTCTAATAAATTCATATTGTTTATTAGAATGATTTAGATAATGTTTTAGAAATATACATATTTATCATCTTCCTTAATAATCTTATAGTATTCTAATGTTTGTTCTTTTGGACTTTTGATTTGTCCCTTATTTAACATATCACAATATTTTTTACGCTTCGTGTCATAATCACCGCTGGGTCTGCCTATCCCTTTCTTTTCAAAGATTTTGTCAATCTTTTCCTTCTCTTCATTGTTATTTTTTGGTTCGTTTGCCTTTGCATCAAGTTTCTGGTCAATAGTTTTTATCATCTCGTACAACAGTTTAACATTTTTACTAACTGTCATTATCTTCTTTGATAGTTCAGCAATAGCATCATTCTCAACTTCAGACATTTCTATATATATTTATTTATATAATTATTTATTTAAATATTTATTTATGCGTTTTATTAAACAGTTTACCTGAATAATCTAATGTTATATATGTAAATAAATTATATTCTAACAGTCTTTCACAAATTTTATTGTTCATTTTTATTAAACCTTCCTCGTCACCTGTAATTCCAAAAAACATCAATATTTTATCAAATTTATCCGGTTTAGTTATACCTTTCATAAAATATTTATCCTTGAATTTAGCATCAAACCAATAAAAATATTCTTCGCTCAATTGTTTAGCAAAGTTTTTATCACCATTAAATAGGTCTTTAATTTCTTCATCGTCAAAAGTTATAACTCTATGGTCTTCTCTATTCATAGTTGGCATTATGATTATACAAATAATTAGATATTTATTTACTTATTTATTTATAAAATTGATTTAATGTAAAATCTACTCTTTAAATACTAAATTTTCATCATTTGTTTAATAGTTTCCTGTGCTTCGTTATCACCATTATCGGATGGTGATGCATGCCTTCCCCATTTAAAAGTTATATTATGGACATCAGTTTCTAAGTTGATACTGTCTTTAGTTTTATCAATATTCATTTTCTTATCCTTTTTGCTCAATTTGAAATTTGTCGGAATACACGAACATTTACAATTTCCTTTCTTTTGAATTCCTAATTCGTTCTTCATTGCTAACATCTTTTTACACATAGGGCAAGCAAACTCAATAACTGATGTTTCTTTAACAATTTCTTCTTCTTTGTCGTCATCTGTTGAAGAAACTGTAGTATCTGTTTTATTCTTTTTGTTTTTCTTTTCCCATTTATATTAATATTTACATTTTTATTTTTGATATATTGTATTCCTAATTTTATTAATTCTAATGTATAAAAGCATACTTTCTTACATCTGTTGTCAGTTATTATCACTTGTTCTATATTCTCTACTTCATCTATTATATCAATATAATCTGAATAACTTCTATCCATATTAAATAATAAGATGAAATAATTATTAAAAATAATTATTTGATCTTATTATTTTCATGCATAATAGAATATTGGTGGGGCACAGCACTTGGGTTTTCATTGCACACGCGAGCAAGACACAAAACTAATTATCTTCAATGCTTATTGATTGAAGCAATGGAAAGCCTGTTCCATTTTTATGATATTCACTGCCAGCATATCATAAAAAAGATGGTCGCGTTAGCACGCGAGGCTCGTTCCTCGCGTCCATTAATATTAAATAGAATATGTATTTAAACTATTTTCTTTAGTAAGTTTTATTGCAGTTGATAGACTAACATCTTTAATATTAATATCAATAACTTCTTGTACACTATTTATCATTTCATTTGTATACATATCGGGATAATCTTTCATAAAATTTACTAACTTTCTAAAATTAAAATCTAGGTTATTGTCATTTTCAATTGAGGACTTGGATACTACAATATTTTGTTTTTTAATTGCCGATAAAAAGTATAACATTGTATCATAATCTATTTGTTCAGTGTCGGGCACTAAGATATCACCAAATTTAAATATCCTCCGAATACTAGCCACTTCACTTAAATTTATAGATTCTATAGCCATTATGATATATTTATATTTTATTTTTTATTTTATAAGTATTTATAATATTATTTTCATTATGCCTGATGTAAAACCAATTGATGAAATCAAATATGACTTTAAGCAAAGTAAGCACGAGGTCGTCCCTAAATTGCCGATGAGAGCTATGATTGTGGGCCCGTCAGGCTCTGGCAAATCGACGCTACTTGTATCAATGATACTTGATATTTATAGAGGAGTATATGAAAGAATTTTTATCTGGTCCCCATCAGTAAATTTGGATAGTATTTGGTTGCCTGTTGAAAAATACATTAAAGAAGGTTTGAAAGTAGATACTGATAAAGAACCGTGTTGGTGGGATGAGTTCAATGTTGAAGATTTAGAAAGAGTTATAGAAACTCAAAATAAAATAATTGAATACCAGAAAAAACAAGGAACGAAGAAATTATTTAATATTTTGGTAATTTTGGATGATGTATCTGATAATCCAGCAATAACAAGAAATAACAAATTGTTAAATTCTTTATTTTGTAGAGGTCGCCATAGTGGAATATCAACACTTGTCAGTCTTCAAAAATCATCAACTGTGCCACCAATTATTAGAGTAAATATAAGTCATTTGTTTTATTATAAAGTTAGAAACTACAAAGAGATAGAAATATTACAAGATGAATTATCAGCAATTGTTAGAAGCGATAATTTACACGAAAGCAAGAAATAAATTTATAAAATATATGAAACCGCCACTGATGAACCGCATAGTTTTTTATATATTAACCTTTTAGAAAAGAACCCTGACCGTATCTGTATGAAAAACTTTTCACAATATTTGAAAATAACTAATCAATAACATTAAATTTATTGTTT